CGGAGCCCCCCAAACCGAGTCAGATTTGGGTTTCTTGGACTTTCTCCTTGGTGTGGGTCTGGATTAGGTAGGGGTCCGAGAGGGTGGTCCCGGGGGGGTGCAGAGAGTTGCCCAAACTGTTGTCTGTCCAGTGGGCGCCGTGGGGTTTGTAGGTGTTGTAGTTAATGTGGTCGTGGACGGCGGGCAGCACCACCGCCCCCTCACCTGATCCTCCGGCGCTGGTCGCCGCAGTGGTCGCCGGGGCGGCGGCCGCCGGGATGTCCTCGTCCACCTGGATGATCTCCACGGTGCGGGCGGCCGTCACCGTGCTGCGTTGCTGGTGGCGCTTGCGGAGTTTGTAGAAGACGATGAGCATGGCCGCCGCCAAGAGCGTCACCGCCACGAAGCAAACCATGATGAGGTCTTCATCACCTCGTCCAAGCTGGTCTGCAGTTTGTCGCCGGAGTCGGCGGTGGGGACGGCCACCTGCTTGGGCGTCCGCGTGGTCTGGACCAGGACGGTGGTGGTGGTGGTGTAGGCCGGCTGGTAGCCCGTGGAGGTGGTGGGCACGGGCTTGGTGAACTTGGGGGAGATGTCCTCGGGGGAGATCTCAGTGGTCTCCACCGTGACGGTGGTGAAGAAGCTGTAGTTGGAGGTGTTGAGCTCGGCCGTGCTCACGTTGAGGTAGGCCGAGGCGTTGGAGTTGCCCGCCACGTTGGTCACCATGCAGGTGTAAACCCCGGTGTCCGTCAACAAGACGTGGGAGAAGTTCAAGGTGCCGTCGTTGAGGACGGAGATGCGCGGGTGGCTGGACGCGTGGCTCAGGACCGTCCCGTTAGGCAGCAGCCACCTAACGGAGGACATGGAAGGAGTCCGACACTTGAGCTCGGCCACCCGCCCCTCGGAGATGTTGAGGTCCATGGGGGCGTCCATGATGAAGGGCGCCGAGCACTGGAAGGAGGTCTGGTCCACCTCCACCAGGAACCTGCCCCGCATGTGCAGGGGGGCATGGCAGCGCCCGCAGCAGGTGGAGTTGGTGGGGATGTACTCCCGCAGCCACCACGACAGCCAGAGGATGTCGCAGTCGCAGTCCCAGGGGTTGTGGTGCAGGTGGAGCTCCACCAGGTAGCGCAGCGGGGCGAAGAGGTCGTGGGGCAGGGAGGAGAGGTTGTTGTGGGCCAGGTTGAGCTCCACCAGCGCCGTCAGGTCGTCGAAGGCGTTGCGCTCGATCAGGTTGATCTGCGAGTTCATAATCCAGAGCTTTTTGAGGGACTTGAGCCCGTGGAAGGAGCCCGGTTTGATCTCGGGGAAGTTATTGCCCGACATCTCCAGCTCCTCCAGCCCCACCAAGGGCGTCAGGTTGGGCATGTCCTTGATGTTGCACATCCCCAGGTTGAGGTACTTGAGGTTGTACAGCCCCTCGAAAGCCCCCTCGGAGATGTACTCCAGCTTCTTCAGCTCGCCCAGGTCCAGGCGCATGAGGGAGGGCACCCGGTTGAAGGCGTACGAGGGGATGCTCTCGATGGGGTTGTTCCTCAACCACAGCTCCCGCAGCTTGGAGAGGTACTCGAAGGCCCCGCTGGGGATGACGGTCAACCAGTTGTCGAAGAGCTCCAGGGTGTTGAGGCTGGCCAAGCCGTTGAAGGCCCCCACCTCGATCTGCCGGATGGCGTTCCGGCCCAACTGGAGGACCTCCAAATGATGCAGGTGCCGGAAAGTGTCCGCCTGGATGAGTTGGATGTTGTTCTCCATGAGGTTGAGATAACGGGTGTTGGAGGGGATGCCGGGGGGGACGGCGGCCAGGCCGCGCCGGGTGCACACCACTTTGCTGAACTGGTTAGTGCAGGAACAAACGGAGGGGCAGCTCTGGGGTCCGGGGGAGGGGGGGGCGACGTAGAGAATCCAC